CGTGCCCGCCGGCCGCCCTCCCCCGGGGGACCCCCGCTCCTACAGGTGGGGTGCAGCAGGACTGCCCCAGCGCCCGCCGCTTGAGGGGCTGCTCCTGGGTGCTCTGCCAGCCCTGGAGCTGGCCTAGGGGCACAGGCAGGAGGGAGAGGCTGGGGGGGTGGAAGCCAGGCGTGCCCCGTGACCTGCGCCCACCCGGCAGGAGTCGGAGCCGGTGGAGGACTGCGTGCAAAACACGCTCTCGGCCCTGTACCCACCCTTCACCGCCACGGCGCCCACGCTGCTGGGCCAGGTCTTCGACGTGGTGGAGAAAACCTACCGCGAGGATGCCCTGCGCTACACCCTCGAGTTCCTCGTGCCTGCCAAGCATATCCTGGCCCGCATCCAGCAGGAGGCTTGCGTGAGTCTGGCTGTCTGTCTCTTGTCTGTCGGGGAGCCGTCCCTGCTGCAGGCCTGACCTGACCTCCTGATGGAGGGGCAGGTGCGGGCTCGGGAGTGGGGGCAAAGCAGGGCTGGCCAGCTGAGGGGTGGCTCTCGTCGCCGGGAAGCGGGTCATAGGAGAGAGCATAGTCTGGGCAGAGTAAGCCGGGCGATTATGCCTATGTTTTACTGCGGGTATTTCCCGGGCTTTACTGGTTGCCACCCTTCCCCCTTTCTGTTGCGTGTGTCTGGGCATTTTCGAGCCTTCCTCAGAGGCATTGGGTGCTGGCTGCAGCCAACGCTGGGGACTATGGCTGGGCTGTGCCAATGCTCAGCAGAGGCCAGAGGTTCCCGGCTGCAGTTTGCCCCTCTGCTCAGGATCAGACCGATTCCCACCTTTGGGGTCAGGAAGGAATATTATCCCATGGTCAGATTGGTATGGACTTGTGCCGGGGAGTTGGTTGCCTTCCCCCATAGCTGGGGATGTGGCCTCTGCCTGGGATTTCTCGAGCATATATTAACAGCCTTTGCAGCAGCTGGGATTCGGCTGCTGCGGTCCCCCTGCTTTTCCCCGTGGCAGGTTAGGGTGTGATGTCTGGTGTTGTGCCAGGGTCGATGGTTGTTTTACAAAGAGGTTAGATGATGGATGGGTCTGGGCTGGTTTGGATAGGGATGAGCCTGCCTCAGGCAGGGGAGCTGGACTACATGAGCTCTGGAAGTCCCTTCCAGCCCCGCTTCTCTAGGATTTAATATTCTGTGGCGTGGGGGCGGGCAGCGGGTGCAGAGGGGTGGCAGTGGGCAGAAGCCTAGTGAAGGGGCAAGGCTGTCTGACTGGGCAGCAGCCTGGTGTACGGAGAAGGACTGCAACGGGGAGGGGTTCAGAAGCAGGGTCACGTGGCGGTGTGTTGGGGTCTCTCGTGCCCCTCCAGCCCTGTCCCTTTTTCTCCCCCCGCCAGTCCCAGTACAGCGGGTTCGTGTTTTGCCACGAGGGCTGGCCGCTCTGCCTGCACGAGAAGATCGTGGTCCAGCTCAGCTCCCTGCCTTGGCAGCAGCTCCGGCCTGGTGACTTCTACTTGCAGGTGGTGCCTTACCTGGCCCGGGCGCCCTGCCTGGTGCTGAAGTGCCTGGCGCCAGATGGACACAGCATCCAGGAGCTGCCAGTGCCTCCCGAGGCCTACCCATTTCTCTTCACTGCCGAGTGGCTCAATGGCATCAATAAGGACCGGCGCGCGGGGCGTCTGGAACGCTGTCTGCTGGCAGCTGAGGAGCGCGTGCTGCGCCTGCCCTGGACTGAGCTCATCTGTCCACAGTTTGTGCATGAAGGGGGCTTTATGGTGGGCAGGCGATGCCCACCAGGCACCAGCCCTGAGGGGCTGGGGGCACGGAGTCCTGGAGATGGGCACCACTCCAGTGGGGAAAGCCGGGAGGTAGAGGGGGGCGGCCCAGAGGGGGAGTACGTGCAGCTCCTGGAGATCAGCCCCCCCCGGCCCAATGCCCCCCTGGCCTTTGTGCCCCCTGATTCCCAGAGCCGCACCCTGCCTGCCCGCAAGGGCCACAACAAGGGCCGCAACCGGCGCCACCGGGCCTGGCTGCACCCCAAGCCAGGGCGTGAGGAGACCTTGCCCAGGAACCGGACCCGCAGAACTTGGGAAGGGGCACATCTGGGAGGTGGCCAAGGCCAGGGGAGGGTGTTCCTCCAGGATTGGGACATGTCACGGCTGCCCAGAGCTAGGGCAGGGCAGAGATGCAGCCAAGGGGATGGCGAGGACCAGGGGGTAGATGTGCCCTTTGCTGTGGACACACAGAAATCAGGCAAGGAAGGATGTTTGCCCGGAGAGGGGCAGCCAGTGGGAGACCCCGGTGAAGGGTGTTTGCCCGGGAAGGAAATATGGGAAGGAGGTCCTGGAGTGGGGGAGCAGGGAGGAGACCCCAGGGAGGGCTGTGTACCCAGCGAGGAGAAGCAGGGAGGGGACTCCAGAGAGGAGCGTTTCCCTGGGCAGGAGAGTGTGCCAAGGGAGACAGAGAGACAAGGAGAAGCCAGGGAGGGGCAGAGAGAAGGGGACTGTGCAGACAGACAGCTGAGGAGGGGTCTGGTGGAAGGGCAGCAGGCAGTAGACCCAGGGGAGAGGCAATCTGGAGGGGTCCTGAGGGAGGCACAGCAGGGAGAGGACCGTGGTGGGACAGCCACCTCCCTCCAGCCTAATGCTGCCGGAGCACCAGCCAAGGCCAAGCCACCAGGCTTGAGCAAGGGGCCGGGGCCAGCTGGACCCCCTTGCCCTGGCCAGAGGGAACAGAGCCCCCCGAGTGGCTTCAGAGGGGTGGCTCCTGACACAGAGACAGCACCAGCCAGGGCTCACCTGCAGGCAGGGGGTGACAGAAGCTGCCCCCCAGCCCCAGCAACACCACATCGAGCCCCCAGAGGCAATCGCCGGAGGAGGAAGTGGGGTGGGAGAGGCTGCTCCACTGCTGGAGGCAGGAAGGAGTTTTTGCCCGCAAGGGAGCTGGCCGTCCCTGCCAGCGATGGGCAGGGGTGCATTCCCCAGGGGTCTGAATTGCCTAGCACTGCTGCCAAAGTAAAAAGCCAGGTGCCCCGTGGGACTGGGAAAGAGAGTGTCCCCACTGACACTGGGGTCCCGAACACACTTGCCATGGGAGAAGAGGGCATCCCTGAGAGCCAGGAGGAGGGGGCTGGCACTGACGTCCCAAGGCACGAGGCTGGCACGATGGACGAAACTGGGGACTCCACCCAGCAGGACGGGGTTGTCCCTGGAGAGGTGGATATCCCCACCCCCCTTGCAATACCCAGCACCGAGGGTATGGGAGGTGAGGGTGCCCCTGCCAGTCCAGGGCATGCGACCTCCCAAGCCAACACCGAGGAAAAGACCATGGCCACGGTCCCCAGCCCACAGGCCAGCGCGGGGGAAAAGCTCATCACTGGATCCCCGAAGCAGATGGAGCCTGTTGTGGCTGGAGAAGCCTCAGCAGAGAATGCCCATCCCCCTGAGGGAGCAACAGAGCCCAGCTGCCCCCCTGGCTCCCTGCCCTCCACCTCAGCTGTCCTTGGGCAAGATGTGGACTGGGACCTCCTGCGCTCTGGCATCTTCCAGCTGACAGGTGAGAGCCGTGGGCTGGCACGTGGCACAGACTGTCTGGCTGGGGCCTGGCACATCAGCGCCTTCAGTTCCCGGGCTTAGGGTCTAGTGCCTGCCAGCCTACGGGCATTGCCCTACCAAAGAAGCAGGCTTCCCAGGGCACGAGCAGGCTATATAACCTGACAGCCCAGCTCTGGGACAACAGCAGCAGTCTCAGCTGCATGGCCACATGAGGCACAAGCTGCCTCCACCCCCATATCCTAGGGCAGTCCTCAAACTGTCCCAGGCTCAAAGGCGAGCACCCAAAGGAGAGGGCTGGGGAATGGGGCATGGTGCCAAAAGTGGAGGCCTTGCTTGTGCTATGCAGGACCACAGGCAAGGGTTTAGCAGCATGATAGCAGCCTCCCAGAGATCACCATCCATCTCCATGTGCTGGGGGCTGCCATGGGTCCAGCCAGTGCCCCGGGCTGCCCTCACCCTAGATTTGGCTCCGCAGGAGGCATGGACCGGGCTGGAAGGGCTGTGCTGGCCGTCACCCTGCCGCCCCCAGGGGATCCAGCCCAAGCCCTGGCCCAAGAGGAGTTCATCAAGGCCCTGAGATACCTGCACTCGCTGCTCAGGTAATGCCAGCAACAGAGGAGGGGCAGGGACAGGGCAGAGTCCTCCGTTCCCGAGGCTGCCCCACATCCAGTGTGCTTTCCTGTGCACCCCAACAGCTCTCTCTTGTCTCTTCCCCTGTGTAAGGCCACAGCTCGCCCCATATACCCTGCCTTGTCCCCCTGTGTCCCTAGAGTGTGGCCCTATCCCCCAGCTGCTCTCGCAGCTCCCCCACACACCTCCACCATTCCTCCCGTTGCCCCACATAGCCCCCAGCTCTGACATGGGCTGCTCCCCAACCCCCCTGACATTACCAGGAGCCTTCTGTGCCCCTTCCAGTCATTCCCCCCCCACCGCCCCCACTGCTGCTCTCTGGGTCCCCGTGGGAGCTGCCACCTCTTAACTCCTCGCTGTCTTCTGCCTCGCAGGAAAGAACAGCAGGAGCTGGGGTTGATGGTGCTGCTGGACCTGCGGCAGGGGGGGCTCTTGTCCCCCCACTCCCCTGCGCTACTGGCAGCCCTGCAGGAGCTGCAGGTACTGCCCCTTGCACCCCCACTGCACGATCAGGCCCGCTGCCTGCCCCCACCCTGCACAGCCCCGCTGCCTGCCTGGGCCCTGCTGCCTGCCCCATAACCCCTCACAACCCTGCTCCCCACGCCTGCTCCTCTGCCCACTGCCTGCTGCTTCCTCGCTGCCTGCCCCATGCCTTTTACAGCCTCCACCCCGGTCCCCCTGCCCAGCTCCCACCCCCAAACCGCCTTTCCCATTCCTCGCACAGCCTTCTGCCCTGCTCTTCCTCTGGGCCTGCTCCCTGCTGCCCTTCTTGGTAGTCGGGGGTGCCAACCTCCCTCCTCCTTGCCCTGCAGGAGGTGTCCCCAGCACTCGTGAACCGCCTGCTGGTGTTGGCCCCACCGGGGGACCCTGGGAAGCTGGCACTCGCTCAGGTATGGGGTTGGCAGTAGGGGCAGTGCCTGGGTAGCAGTGCGGTTGCAGGGGGTGACCGCAAGGGACTCCTGCTCAGGAGGATGGCGGGTTATTGGGGTTTCTGTGAGCAGAGGGACAGCAGCAAAGGGTCCCTGACAAGGGTTTCCTTTGCAGGAGGCGGGCAGGCATGGGGGGGGCCTGGTGAGGGGCATGGAGGAGGCAGCGGGGGCATTTCCCCCCGCTGATGGGGGTGGGGGCATTTCCCAGGTGCCAGGGAGATGCTAGGGTTGAGGGAAGGATCCTTTCCATCGTGACAGCTGTTCCATCCTCCAGGAGATGCTTGTGCTCTCTGTCGCCGACCTGCCCCGCTTCGTGGAGCCCCAGCACCTGCAGCAGTGTTTGGGGGGCAGCCTGCAGCACTCACAGGCCCAGTGGGTGGCATCGTGCCAGGTGAGAAATGGGAGTGCCGCCACCCCCAGCCAGAGCTGCTCTGTGCCTCTCACCCCAGCCTCTGGAGACACACCGGGGTGGGCAGGAGTGGCCCCCTCTCAGAGGCCCCCAAGAGGTCCCCATGCCCCACAGCCTCAAATCATACCCCCTGCGTCCCAGAACCCAGGAAATCCAGTAGCTCCCCCCATGGTGCCCAAACCCCTGATGCTCAGGGTCTGAATTCCCAGCTCCTGGCGCAGCCTATCAGCATCCCTCAGTGCCTGCCGAAAGTTTGTACTTCATCACCCCTCCCTGGTGCTCTGCCTCTACTGCTGAGCCTTTCCCTTGCTGCCAGGCCTTGACACCTCAAGCCCTCCTCACTGCAGCACCATCTTCCCCTGTGCCTGGTGTGCTTCTCCCTGCAGGCGCTGGAACAGCTGTGCAGACTCTGCCGCGACGTGCTATGCTCGGTGCAGGCAGCCAGCGTCGAGGTGGAGGAGGGGTCAGGAGCAGAGAGGAGCAATGAGGTATATGACCCTGCACCACGTCCCCTGGACTCTGCTGCTCTGGCTCCTGGTAGTGCAAGGCCAGTTCACCCCCAGCTGACTGTGTGGTGTGTTTGCATTGGCATGCATGCAGCAGCAGCATACTGGAGCAGAGCATTGGCACATGAGTGCTTTGTGCCGTGCCCCGCTGAGCAGGCTGTGTCGGCAGCATTGCCTCATGGTGTTGTCCTGCACTGTACTGCTGTTTCAGGATGCTGGGCTCACCCTCATCCTGCTCCAGGATGGGCCAGCGGGCTAGGAGGTCACTGCGATGCCTCGTGACGTGGCATGCTGTACCGCTTACTGTGCTGTGTTCCCAGGAGCTGACTGCTCAAATCGCCAGGCACCAGGACACCATGCGCAGGCTGCTGTCGGATGCACGCCTGCTGGAGCTGCAGAGCGAGGGAGGAGCCCTGCTAGCCCGGCTGTGTCCCTGGGAAGCCCTCAGGTGAGACCACCCTGTGCTCTGGCATGGGGTGTGGAGTGGCTGAGCCGAGCTGACAGCATGTTGTAGGGACTGATGTGCTCCCTTCTGCCCACAGCGGCCTGGCTGAGACGGCTTCCAGCCTCTACCAGGAGGTGGACAACGCCATCCATAGGCTGGGGGGGCTCAGCAATCGGCGCCTAGGGGAACTGGAGCAGCTGCGCCAGCACCAGGAGATCGGACAGGTCATTGCTTCCTGCCACCACCCGCTGCGCGCCTCCCACCCATGCCCCACCCACCTTCCTGGCCCAGGCCCCCGTGCCCACTGGTGCACGGGTGTGGGTGTGCGATGCACGGGCATGTGAGCCACCTGCCCTGCCTCCACTTGCATTGCCTGGCTCCTGTGCCAAGCTCCCACCTGCCCTTCAGCTTCCACGCCCTCTTGGCCCCTGTGCCAATCTCCTGCTCACATTATGCCCTATCCTTTTGCCAATCTCCTGCCTACGCCCAGCCCCCACTGAGCCCCGGAGGGGCATCCCCACCCATCTCAGCGGGGCGCTCAGTGCCAGAGGCAGCGGTCCATGAGCACTTGGGTACAGGAGACAGCCCCGCTTGGCCTCACTCCTTCCTTCCCAGGAGTGGTTGGCCCAAGGCTGGGAGTCTGTGTGTGTGTGGTGGGTGATGATGCCCTAGCAGCCTTGTGTCCCTCAGACCTGTGTCCCTTTCCTCCTCTGAGCCTGTCTCCTGCTCTCCCGGCAGGCCCAGGATGGGAGCCTGGAAGATGAGCAGTGCCTGGCCGCTCCTGAGGACGACGAGGGGCCAAAGGCTGTGTTTGGGGTGCTCAGTCAGCACCATCAGCCCCCCACTGACGCCTCAGGCAGTGTCTGCCAGGAGATGCAGGCGCTGGCCCTGCAAAACCCCCGGGCCGCGCAGGAGTGGGGGCGCTGCCGAGCCCGCTGCCAGGAGCTGGGCTGCCTGCTGCAGAGGAGGATGCGGGCTGCCCTGCAGCCTGCCTCGCCACCCCGCCGCCGGGCCGGCAGCACCAGTGCCTCCTGCTCACCCCAGCACCCGCTGCGAGGCCTGGGCACTGGGTTTGGCTCCTCCCGCAGCATGAGCTGCGTACTGCCCCCACCCAGCAGCCCCTTGTCCAGTCTGCAAGTGGCACCCTCCTGCCAGTCGCTGGGACCTGCCAGAGAGCTGGCAGAAGACAGCGGGAAGGAGCGGGGCCCCAGCCCCACAGATGCACCCCCCAGCTCCTTCTTCCAAGCCCCCACCCTGCCAGCAGGCAGCTCCCCTCCTGTGGGTACACCACCCCTCTGCCGGCCCTCCTCCAAGGGACCCCCTGCTACTCAGAGGGCACTGAGCGAGCCGGGTCCCGGCAGCCCCCGCCCTGGCGTCCACATCCGAGGCCTGGAGGTGAGCAGCCGGGAGGTGGTGGACAGGACCTGCTCTCCCCGGGAGCACGTCATGCTGGGCCGCACTGGTGCCCAGAGAGCCGAGGCACCCTGGGGAGGCACACCCAGCACCGAGAGGAAGCGTCGCTTGGGGTGAGTCTTGGGGCCATCAATGCCTGAAGGGGCTGGAAGGGCCGGGCGGCTTGCACTCTTGAGGGCAGTGGGTGGCATAGGAAAGCACTGCCGTGGGCTCCCGCTTTGTGGCTCGCTCATGCTCCAGCTGTAAAAACATAGGTGGCATGGCTGGCCATGGCATGTTCTTGGCCCTGCCATGGAGGAGAGAGGGCACAGCTTTCTCGCCATGCCTAGCTTGGAGCAGACATGGGCTGAGCAGCATGCACGAGAGAGCAGTAGGCAGCCAGAATGGGGCAAACAGGGAAAGAATGAGTCAGGGCTAGACAGCCTATGAGGACTCATCTCCTGGCACCCTCTGTATAAGCAAGTCTTGGCCCTTCACACACCCTAACCATGTCAGGGTCTTCCCCCTGCTGTGCCAAACAGGGGTCCCCAGTATGTGCCATCTTTTTCCAGCATGCACTGGATTCTCTCCAGTGTGCCAGGTTGTAGAATCATAGAAAATGAGGGTTGGAAGGGACCTCAGGCGGTCACATCTAGTGCAACCCCCTGCTCAAAGCAGGACCAACCCCAACTATCTTATCCCAGCCAAGGCTTTGTCCAGCCAGGTCTTAAAAACTTCCAAGGATGGAGTTTCCACAACCTCTCTGGTTAACCTGTTCCAGTGTTTTGCTACCCTGCTAGTGAGAAAGTTCATCCTAACATCTAACTTAAACTTCTGTGGCTGCAACCTAAGACCACTGCTCCTTGTTCTCTCATCTGCCACCACTGAGAACAGTCCAGCTCCATCCTCTTTGAAATTGCCCTTCAGGTAGTTGAAGGTTGCTATCAAATCTCCTCTCAGTCTTTTCTTCTCCAGACTAAGCCCAGTTACCTTCTCAGAAGTCATGTGCCCCAGCACCCTAACAATTTTCCTTGCCCTCCACTGCACACTCTCCAATGTCTCCACATCCTTTCTGTAATGGGGGGTCCAAAACTGGCCACAGGACTCCAGATGTGGACTCCTTACCAGTGCCAAATAGAGGGGAAGAATCACTTCCCTCGACCTGCTGTCAGCAATCCTGCTAATGCAGCTCAGTATGCCGTTAGCTGCCTTTGCAACTCAGGCATACTATTGGCACCTGTTCAGCTCATCGCCCACTGTAACCCTCAGGTCCTTTTCTGCAGACCTGCTGCTTAGCCAGTTGGTTCCCAGCCTGTACCGGTGCATGAGATTGTTCCATCCTAAATGCAGGGCTTTGCACTTGTCCTTATTAAAGTCATGCCTTTCCCGATGCTCACCTGGCAGTGCCTGTGCCGGGGTGCTGCAGGGGCTCTGGCTCTTGGATGACTCCAGCCTCCTCCCCACAGCACCCAGCAACGTTTGGTGGCTGAGCTGATCACACTGGAGCAGCAGTACGTGAGCTGCCTAGTAGAGCTGCTGCCTCTGGGCGTCGGACACCAGGAGCTGGCCTCGGAGCTGAGGCACGAGTGCAGCACATTGCAGGGCCTCCGGGACCGCCTGCTGGCCTTCCACCGTGCCTACTTCCTCAAGGAGCTGCAGGGCTGTACCATCCACCCCCTGCGTGTGGGCAGCTGCTTTCTGCGCTATGTGAGTGATTCCAGGACCCCCCTGGTGACCCTCATAGCCTCATGGGATGCCAGTATCCCCCCAGGGACCCTCACATACTCAAGGAGACCCCAGAGACTCCTCCATGAGAGGGAATGTGCTATGTGGGTGCCAGGCTTGACAGCCTCAAAAGATGGAGAGATCTTTTGGGGCCCCCCTGAGACTTCAGCAGGTCTGCAAAAGGGAGTTGCTGCCTTTGACACCTAAGTACCTGGCTCTGAACACCCCTCTCATGGGTCCGCAGCACTTCTCCAGACCGCAGACCCTTCTTTGTCACAGCTGTTTGCAGTGCTGGCTCATAGAAGGGCAGTAGTGTTGGATTGGGTTTTGTTCTAATGTGCACCCATTCTCCGTGCCAGGGGGACCAGTTCAGTCTCTATGCCCTCTATGTGAAAAGCCAGCAGAAGCTCGAGGCCATGTTCACAACTCAGCGAGTGCACAGCAAGGTAGGTTGCCAATGCCCCATGGGCCCAATGCTGCCAGGGAACAGGCTATCTCAGAGTCTGGGGCTCCATGTGTCTTGAGGGATTAGAATAGGGGGCTGCGTGCCACGACTCCTGGGCTCTGCCCCAGTTCTGACAGGGGGCTAGGAATCAACCCTCCTGGGTTCAACCCTGGAGATAGGAAGGTGAGGTCTAAAGCTTAGAGTTGGGGTGCAAAGCACAGGACCCCCTGAGAGTTTGTCTGGAGCTAGCAGAGGTGGGGACAGAACAGTGGGTCACAGCCCAGCTCTGGCAGTGGTAGGTTGAGCCATGGGCATGGGATGGTGGCGAGGCTTGGGGAGTCATGTGCTCTGTTCTCTCCCCGACTTAGGGTGGGCCCGGTGGGCTGGAGGGGCTCTGGGAAGATGGGGGACTGGCGCGCTCTCTCCAGAGGCCCCTGCTCCAGCTGGAGCACTACGGACGCTTCCTGGAGGAGCTGCTGCGGGAGAGCGGTGCAGAGCAGACGCAGGAGCGCGAGGCCCTGCGGGCAGCGCAGCAGCTCCTGGAGTCCCAGGAGCAGCATGGCAGGAACCTGCTGGCCGTGGAGCAGATCCGAGGCTGTGAGGTGAGTGCGGGCAGAGGTGGCAGGTACTAACTCAGCATAGACTGCTCCAGGGAGCTATCCCAGCATGCACTGCTCCCTGGTTATCCCAGCATGCCCTGCTGCATCTGCATCCAAAGCGTGGTCCAGGGGTGCTACCCCAGTATGCACTGCTGCATCTGTCTCCAAAGTGTGGTCCAGGGGTGCTATCCCAGCATGCACTGCTGCATCTGTCTCCAAAGCATGGTCCAGGGGTGCTATCCCAGCATGCACTGCTGCATCTGTCTCCAAAGCATGGTCCAGGGGTGCTATCCCAGCATGCACTGCTGCATCTGTCTCCAAAGCATGGTCCAGGGGTGCTATCCCAGCATGCACTGCTGCATCTGTCTCCAAAGCATGGTCCAGGGGTGCTATCCCAGCATGCACTGCTGCATCTGTCTCCAAAGCATGGTCCAGGGGTGCTATCCCAGCATGCACTGCTGCATCTGTCTCCAAAGCATGGTCCAGGGGTGCTATCCCAGCATGCACTGCTGCATCTGTCTCCAAAGCATGGTCCAGGGGTGCTATCCCAGCATGCACTGCTGCATCTGTCTCCAAAGCATGGTCCAGGGGTGCTATCCCAGCATGCACTGCTGCATCTGTCTCCAAAGCATGGTCCAGGGGTGCTATCCCAGCATGCACTGCTGCATCTGTCTCCAAAGCATGGTCCAGGGGTGCTATCCCAGCATGCACTGCTGCATCTGTCTCCAAAGCATGGTCCAGGGGTGCTATCCCAGCATGCACTGCTGCATCTGTCTCCAAAGCATGGTCCAGGGGTGCTATCCCAGCATGCACTGCTGCATCTGTCTCCAAAGCATGGTCCAGGGGTGCTATCCCAGCATGCACTGCTGCATCTGTCTCCAAAGCATGGTCCAGGGGTGCTATCCCAGCATGCACTGCTGCATCTGTCTCCAAAGCATGGTCCAGGGGTGCTATCCCAGCATGCACTGCTGCATCTGTCTCCAAAGCATGGTCCAGGGGTGCTATCCCAGCATGCACTGCTGCATCTGTCTCCAAAGCATGGTCCAGGGGTGCTATCCCAGCATGCACTGCTCCCTGGTTATCCCAGCATGCCCTGCTGCATCTGTCTCCAAAGCGTGGTCCAAGGGTGCTATCCCAGTATGCCCTGCTGCATCTGCATCCAAAGCATGGTCTAGGGATGCTATCCCAGCATGCACTGCTGCATTTGTCTCCAAAGCGTGGTCCAGGGGTGCTATCCCAGCATGCACTGCTGCATCTGTCTCCAAAGCGTGGTCCAGGGGTGCTATCCCAGCATGCACTGCTGCATCTGTCTCCAAAGCATGGTCCAGGGGTGCTATCCCAGCATGCACTGCTCCCTGGTTATCCCAGCATGCCCTGCTGCATCTGTCTCCAAAGCGTGGTCCAGGGGTGCTATCCCAGCATGCACTGCTGCATCTGTCTCCAAAGCGTGGTCCAGGGGTGCTATCCCAGCATGCACTGCTGCATCTGTCTCCAAAGCATGGTCCAGGGGTGCTATCCCAGCATGCACTGCTCCCTGGTTATCCCAGCATGCTCTGCTGCATCTGTCTCCAAAGCGTGGTCCAGGGGTGCTATCCCAGCATGCACTGCTGCATTTGTCTCCAAAGCGTGGTCCAGGGGTGCTATCCCAGCATGCACTGCTGCATCTGTATGCAGAGCGTGGTCCAGGGGTGCTATCGCGGCATGCACTGCTGTGTTTCCTATCTGGCAGACTATGAGGTGTATCTCCCAGCATGCTGTGAGCTCTCAGCCTCTAGGGCTGGGCTGTTGCTTGGTGTTGAGCAGGTCTATGAGGTCTGGTCCTACCCTTGCGGTGTTTCTTCTTCCACCAGATGGACCTGAGGGTCCAGGGACAACTGCTGCATCGGGATGAGTTCACTGTGTTGTGTGGGCGCCGCAAGTGCCAGCGCCACATCTTCCTCTTCGAACACCTGCTGCTCTTCAGCAAACGCAAGGGTCCCGAGGCCGGCCTGGACGTCTTTGTCTACAAGCAGGCCTTCAAGGTGAGCTCTCCAGCTTGCAGGTCAGAGCCATGGATTGCACCCGATGGGGTGCTATCTCCACAGCACTCCTGGGCCATATACCAAGCCCAGCGTCTTGGTGTCCCCAGCTCTAGCATCAGCCCCATAGTGCTTCTGGGGCCTGTTCCAGTGCTAGCTTTTTTCTCCAGACAACAAGATGAAGGGTGGCTGCCATGGGTTTTAGTCATGGCTTCCCCTACTCCCAAGTCAAGGGCAGAGTCTGCGTCTAAACCGACATGGCAGTTGATCTGATCCTGAGTTGCGGGACAAGACACTCTAGCCAGGAGCCTCCGGGTTTAAAACTCCCAGCAGGAGCACTGGCACAGCCCCGTCAAAATCCCCCAGCCCTGCTTGCAGCTGTTCTGAGAACGGCGAAAAAACCCCAAACCCTGACACATGTAGCAGCAGGAAGGGGAAAAAACATTCTTCTTGGTCCTACATGGCAGCAAGAAAAGCCCAGAAACCTGAGAAATACCCATAGAGCATATGCCGATGGGATGGTTTGGATAGGGATGGCCCTGCCTCAGGCAGGGAGTTGGACTAGGTGACCTCTGGAGGTCCCCTTCCAGCCCTACTTCTCTATGGGTCTATGATTGCTGACCAGTGCTTGATCAACCTCTTTTGGACCACCTTCAGTGACGGAGAGTCCACAGCTTCCTTGTTCAGTCTATTCCACTGCCTCCCTGCTATAACAGTGAAGAAGTTTTTCCTGATATCCAATCTAAACCTACTTTGCTGCTGACTCCAAGCCATTGGTCTGTGTCCTATGCTCTGCAGCAAGAGAGAAAAGGTGTTCGCCCTCTTCATAACAGCCCTTCAAGTATTTGAAGACTGCTGTCGTGTCCCCTCCTCAGTGCCTTTTCCAGAAGCTGAATGCCTAGCTCCTTCAGCCTTTCCTCATATGAATTGTGAGGAAAGGCTGAAGTAATCCCACCAGACCCAGTAAACTCACCTCCTGGCTGTGCTGCCCCCCCAGACGGCCGATATGGGACTGACGGAGAACATTGGGGAGAGTGGGCTGCGCTTTGAGCTGTGGTTCCGGCGCCGCAAGTCACGGGAGGCCTATACCCTTCAGGCAGCCTCGCCAGAGGTCAAGCACAAGTGGACCAGTGCTGTGGCCCAGCTACTCTGGAGGCAGGCCACACTCAGCAAGGGTAGGACTATGGGCTGAAATGGGAGGGTAGGGGATGGAGCCTGTGGATGGACTGGCATGGAGGAGGGTTAGGGTTGGAGGGGGTGCAGGCCCCATCTAGATGGGATGCGGGACACATCATGGCAGGACAGGGAGCAGCATGTGGGGAAAGTGGGGCTAGGGTGAGACAGGGAAGGGTGTGTGGTGGGGGAGGCACAGGCCTCCGTGTGATTGCCCTTCTTGTCCTCCCCAGAGCTGCGCATCCAAGAGATGGTCTCCAAGGGCATTGGCGACAAGCCTTTCCTGGACATCCAGGCTCATAGCCAGGGCCACCTGAGTGCTCTGCTCATGGGCAGAGGTGAGGGGGCTGTGGTACATGGGGGTTGCAACCGAGGCAGGAATGTTTCATGTTTCATTACACTTAGGGTTGCTGGCACTGAGGTATCTCTGGGGATTCCCAGGGTGGAAAGTCTCTACGGTAGGGTGGAGGTCTAGGAGTGTTCCTTTCAGGGCCGGGGTGTCAGGGTGCTCTCTCAGGGGGTGGAGGGTCTCAGGGCATTTTGAAGATGGGATTCTCTTAGGTGGTGGCCTTTTGGGTGTGGGTTTGCCCTGAGGAGTGTCTAGAGGTGGGAACCTTTATGTCTGTGAGGTTCTGTCAAGCCGCAATCTCTGGGAGTGGGGGGTTCAGGGGGCATGTGGGGGTCTCTCTGGGGACTCTTTTTGAAGTGAAGGCTTCTCTCAAGAGGTCTCTTTGGGGATGAAGATTTCTCAGAGGTGCCTCAAGATTGGGATGACTCCCTTGGGGTGTGTCTCAAGGAATATCTTTGAGATTTGGGGGTCTCACCAGCTGCTCTCAGCTGCCCCTCTCTCCACAGCTGCCCGCACACGTGCCTCTGTGGCTGTCTCCTCCTTTGGTGTGGCCCCATGCTCCCCGCCAGCTGCCACCTCATCCCCACGCTCAGGCCCTAGCCCCCTCAGCCTGTTCTGTGATGCTAGCCCAGTGACTTCTGCAGGGCACTCACCTGGAGGCTGCTCACTGCCCGGGCACTTGGAGGAGGAAGACTGGGAACTGGACATCAAGCATATCCCACGGGGTGAGACCATTGTGTGAAGTCTGCCAGGGCCAGAGGAGCCTTGGAAGATGTGGAGGGCTTTGGGAAGAGGGAGGACCTCTACTTGAGGGGACTGGGCTGACATAAGGTGCTGTGGTGTTTGCTTTGTGGGCATGTGGCTGGTGTGGGCACGGGGGAGGCAGCAGGCTCATGGAGTTCTAGGCAGGGCAGAGCGTGCCATGGGAGATGCACGGCTTAGGACATGGTAGCTCATCCGAGATATGCCTCATCAGGCAGCAAGTGGTGGGAACATATCAGAGGGTTTGGGAGTGTGTTACAGCTGAGTCCTGGAGCTCTGGGAGAGGGTAGGCACCTGGGTCCTTGGACTCTAAGGGCCAGATTGTGGGCTGTGGAGAGGCAAGCAGCCAGACTGTGGACTCAGGGGGCAGGTGGTTGCATCCTGGAGCAATCTGAGCATCCAAGCAGCCAGGTCGCAGTGCCTGGGGGTGGGCATTCTGTCTCTTCCACATAGCTGGGTGGCTACTGTGATGCCGGCTCGTCCTGCAATGCCACATGTGCTCTTCAGCAGACACCAGCATCACAGCCCAACACTGCCCTCCCACATTTTCAACCCCTGTCTGTTGCAGCGGCTGAGATGCCCGAGAGTGGAGAAGGCACCCCAGCACAAGGGGAGCCATGCCTTGGAGGCATGGAGTTGCCAGGGGGCTCTGCCCCAGTGCAGCGTCGACCGGTAAGAATGGGGTTGGGCAATGTGAGGGCCTCTCAGGCCAATACCAGTCTGTCCACACTCTCTTCTTCTCTCCTTTCCTCTCTTCTGCTGCATTTTGTGGTGTCCAGATTTTTCCTGTTTGGAGCTCCCCACTGATGGCAGAAGAGGAGCATGGGCAGGCGCTTTCCTGTCCCTCTGTTAGATCATTTGCTTGCTTCTGTCTATGTGCTTGGCTGGCTGTCCATTGTGGCAGTCTGGCTCTCTGCCCTCACCCTGGGCTTTCCAAGAGGGGTGGGTGTCTTTCGGGAAAGCCCTGGGAAGGGGTGGATAGGACTCACAGCACCAGGGGAAAGGCAGGGAGTGGCCTGGGCAGGAGCAGTCCCTTGCAGCGGGCTGCTGGAACTGCGGGTGTCCAGGTCATGTCACACCCCGGACAAAGCCCTCGAGGTGGATGGTGCTGGGGGACCAGGCTGCTTCACTCTGTGACCGTCTCCATACCTCCCCCATTGGCTCTGCCATCATCTCCACCATGCCTCAGCCTCCCCAACAGACCTAGGGGCTTTACTTCCCTGCCCTCCCAGGCACCCGCTCTGGTCTCCCCTATGGTCCACATGCATCCCAACATGTGCCTTACCCCAGTCACGGTCCTGACTCCCATTTTCCCTGGCTCTGATATCCTCAGCCCACTAATCTCCCAGCCCCACCAGTCCTGTATCCCACAACCTTCCCAACCCCACCCCATTCCTCACGATTCTTCCTTCTGCCCTGCCATGATTCCCCTATGACCGAGCCTCCTGTCCTCTTACCCCAGCCCCAGATGCCCCCCACAGCCCCTTTGCTTCCCTCCTCAGTTTCCTGGGCATTGTCACAAATGCACATCTCATTTGTTTGTCAGAGGGACAGCTGCACCCCCGCCGACCTGGCGACCCCGCTTTGACCCAACCAGCGGCAAGGTACAGCGGCTACGACGCCTGCCGGCGCCCGTCCGTCTGTCTGTCTGACTGTGTGTCCGCCTGCCCCACGCCAGCACCTGGGTGGCGCAGCCTTTCCTCTCCTTCCCTGTGAGCCTGTCTGTCTGTGTCTCCACCTGCCCCCGTGCATCCACCCACCTGTCTGTGCATCTGCCTGCTCCCCTCAATCCTCCAGCAAACCTCAGGCACCGTCCCATTCCCAACGCCTCTATCTGTGCCTTTGGCACCTTCCCCCAACCCATCTGTGCCAGTCACACTCCACCTATCTGCCTATTTTCCCCTTATGTCCCCGTGCGTCCATCTGTTTATCCCTCAACCATCTTCCCTGTTAGTGTGTCTGTCTCTTTTTCTTAGCCCGTCTGTCTGTCCCATCCTCTCCCTCCTCTACATCCATCCATCCATCCATCTGTCCCTCTTCCCACCTGTCCCTCTGTCGTTTGTCTGTGTCCGTCTGGCCCTCTCTCCAGGCCTGGCTGTCATTCACCTCTCCCTAGTACTCACCTGCTTCTCTTCCTCCAGAGCTGGGTGAAAAGCCTGCACCGGAAGCTGTTTCTACCACGCAGCCGCACGGGACGGGACGAGAGCCCAGGGGCTGCCAGAAACCGGACGGTCTGAGAAACCTCATGCTGCAGACCTCTGGCATGGGGCTGAACATGGACACCCCAACCGCCTGCTCTACCCACATAGGGGCTCCTCACCTCTGCCCCTCCACTAAAACCGTGTGTCCCTACTAAAATAAGGCCCATTTTCAGCCCTTGGCCCCTACGGCCCTCCTTTCCATTCCTCCTACCTTAACCTGTCCACAATGGGGAGGAGGTACCAGGCCTCTTCCTGTTGTCTGATGAAGGGAAGGGCAGGAAACATCTCCCCCTCACAAAGGGAGGACAGAGGGAGACCCATAGCACGGCCCAGGTGGCAGGGAATGCCCCACGCTCAACCTATTCATTGGGCTGCCCCTAGCACGGACACCTGCCAGCTCATGTGAAGACACAAACTCCCCTGAGCACTGATCCTGCCCACATGTGCTCTGATCCCACCAGGTGGGATTTTCCACCCCGGGGAATCCCAGCAGAAGCCAGGCAGTGTTAGTGCCATTGCACGAGGCCTCATTCTGCAAAAAAATCAAGTATTTCTCACCAACAGAAATACCCCGTGGGCTTCTGACATGGTGGTAGATTAGTTTGTGAAGGGGGATTCGTAATGCCCAACCCTCTACCCACCCCCACCCACTCACAAGGATCCCTGCACACACCAGCTTGTGAGGGTGCCAATCCCACTCATGCTTATACAGCTCTGCTTGCGTGGATGCTGCCCATCCTCTGCAGACAAACACCTCCTTGCCTGAATTCCAGCCTGAAGGGAGCTTCCTGTAATCTGAGTGTCATGGACAAGTCTGTTGGGGATCAGGAACTGAATGTGAGCTCAGAAGGGCCTGCCTTATTTGCATGTTCAAAATCCCATGGAGTCCGGCACAGCCCAGCTGACCGAGGCTGTTCCTCATTCTCTATTGGCATGTCCCACTGTGCGTGAGTACAATGGGCAGTCATGCCCCATCCTTGGCCCTCTAAAAGGACGGGGAAATCAGTGCCTGGGAAGACTAGCATTAGGGTAGATTGGGTGCGTCTACATGTTCATTAATGTGCCATAGTTACTGTGCATTAAGTTGAGTACTTGGTTAACCAGGTACGAAATAAATGTGCAGTAACTCAACACTACTGCGCAGTAATGCCGGCGCACGGTTTTTAGTGATGTTTACTGCACAGTAGCCTAATTACACTGCACAGTAACGTATCAGCACGGGGTTTGCCCGGTACACTACTGCGCAGTAAGAGTCTTGTGTAGGTGTGCCCATTGTGTCTAAAAGGGAAGGGAAACATAAGTCCTTTATGCACACGGGTGCACGTGCACCCCCTGAGATTGACGGTGCAGCCCCTGAAAGCACTGTTGGCAGTGCCTGTGGGCAGTCACCGCTCACCCCTCTCCCCCAACACCGCCAGTGGCGTCTGCGGGCAGTCGCTGATCGCCGCTGGCTGCTGCCGCCGCATCTGCAGGTGGTCGCTGACCGCTGATTGGCACTCGCCACCACCCCCCGCCGCAGCCGCCTGCAGGCAGTCGCTGGGGCATGCGTCGTTCATGCCTTTACTTTCCAAGCAAACTGGAGCATTACGGGAAATGTTGTGTATAGAAGGAATGAGCTGTCGTGGGAAAGTCTGTGCCTGGCAAACTGGACTATTATGGGAAATTCTGTGCCTGGGGAACCTGGAGCATTGTGGGAAATTTGCTTCCACGAGGAACTGGGACATTGAAGGCAATTTCCTCTCTGGGAGATAAGAAGCATCCTGGGAAACCCCATGCCTGGTAGACTGGAGCATCATGGGACTAAAGCATGGGAAATTCTGTGCCTGTGGACATGAAAGCATTATGGGAACTTCCCTGAAGGGGTGGCGGGTGGGGGGGTAAGGTAGGGAACTAGCATCACGGGATATATGCCTGACAGACTGGAACACCGTGAGGACTCAGTTACACCAACTCTCACGTTGGGGTGACACGTATACAAATATTCATGACTATATGTACAATGTATAACCTGCGGGAGAGAGCCAGCAGGGCATGGCTGCCATTGTGGGTGAAAGCAGGGTTGGGTTGCCAAGGTGTGGGCATATGCCAAATACAGCGCCAGCCCCGAGGACACCCCCTCTTGGGGGTCTCAGAGAAGGCTGGGGTTTTGCCAAGGAGCTAGGCTCTGTATGCACTCCCACTGTTTATCCTGTGTATTAATAAAGCAGAGATACTAGCCATCAGTCCGTGTTGCAGCCCTGTGTCCCACTTCCGTAGCTGCCTGCTCCGTGCCCAGCACACCTGGCTGGTCACATCCATGGAGGTCTAGAAAAATGTCCTGCCCCTGGCAAGTCTAGGTATGTACCAAGGCATCACGGGGACTCAAGCCTACCAGTGTGTATTTCTGGTGTCATGGCAGAGGCTTGTGACAGTCACTGCGGGGCCAGTACAGCCTCTTCCTGGCACCAGGATTGAGATTTCACACTGGCATTGAGTCCTGCCAGGGCCAGGGCTCTTGTGAGACAGTGCCTGCTCCCATTTGACTGGACCTTGCATCCACCAAAGAGCTCCACAAAACGTCTGGGAAACCCTCTTCAAGCTCTCCCTTCCTCTTTGCTTTCCTATCCTTAGCTGACCCCACATCAGGAAGCAAATAGCCTCAGCAGAAGTTGGGTGTGAGCACAAGGACGAGACAGGCCCAAAGTCATCCCAGCCTTTTCTCCACACATGGACCACACATGGCACCCCACAGAAGAGATAGGCCTGGAGCAGGGCAGTGCCCCTAGAGGTAGGTTGGTACTTGGGAAAGCTAGCACTGCTGGTTGGGCCCTCTGCTCTGGTTTTGGGTCCTTTAGCCATTTTTTTTTACTAGGAATCCAGGCTGTATGGCTTTTCTGTGGATTTGGGCTTCTCCCAACACCCACTGCAAATACCTTCAACCCTCCCCAAGGTCCAAGCTCCCTTTGGTCAATCACTATACCCTTCTGCTGGTACCACGGTGAAGAGACGTGCTCTATCCTGCTATAGTACCAGGTGTGGCAGGCTGGGAAACGACTATTCCCACCTGAATGCAACACCTAGACATGGGTCCAGCTTCCAACAACAGCACCCAAACGTCCTTCCATAGGCTGCAATGGGGAAGCATTTCTCGACAAATAATGACGGCCAACCAGCCCAGCACCAGGGGCCAGTGTCTCATAAATCCCTCCATCCCTATAATCAGTATGTCATGGAGCACCATGCAGGTGTCTGAAGCATTCACATGCATGCCCCTTTGGTCTGTGGGATCCTCATTGCTTACCATTCCTCATCTTAAAATACCCCAAGGAAGGAGAGTCCTTAACTTTCCTGGGCAACTCACTCTATTCATCTCCATGCAGCCTCCACTCTGGATGGCCATTGCTGCTCTACTCTGCAGCCTCTGCTCCTCCTGGGGATATGCAGCACCAGCACCGGAGCTCCTGCCTGCTCGACAGATGGCTACCACTAACCTGCACTTGTGTACTCCCAGGAAGCAGAGGTAGAAATGGAGGGCCTTGTCACACGTTACACTTAGCACGTGTTAAATGAACTGAAAATGCTAGCATCCAAGCAGTATAGCACGCACTAAGTGCCATTGTAGGGTAGCAAAGTTAGGATTTTTCCAGTGGGATGCATTTCCAGAGTGTATTACCTAATATGCATTAATGAGCTAGCATCTGACTGCTCCAGGGAAGCAAAGGTGCATTGCTCTGTATCTATATAGAGATTGGAGAGAGCCAAAGGCACCCCTGGGTTGGTGGGGTAGTGCCCTGGGAGAAGGCTGGATGCTGGGACATGAGCCCTGTGCCTGGCAGAGGACTTTGGAGAGGCAGGATCAGGTGTGAGGAGGTTGATGTGGGGCAGGGGCAAGACAGGCTGGGGCAGGGCAGTGCCTTGTGAGGGAAGGTTGGGGCTGGTGCAGAGAGACGGTGCACGAGGGCATTTTCCCTGGGGGGTGTTGCTGCCATGGTAGGGGGAGGTAGGGCCACGGGAGCAGTGCCCCTGGGGGAGGCTGGTTCTAGGGGATGGAGGGGCAGCTCCAGGCCTCCAAGGAGGTTAGGACGTGGTGGCTGTGTCAGCAGAGCCGTGGCAGGCAGGTTGTGCTTCATTGGGAAGCCGATGAGGCGGAGTGGAAGGCATTTCCCCAGGGGGAGCTAGGGCAGAGGGCAGGTGAGGCGGGAGGGGGGCAGGTTTGCTCTGGGATCAGAGGGGGGCGATGCCCGGGGCTAGGTGTGGGGTCAGTGCAGGGCTGCGTGCCCAGCATGCTTTGCAACAGCAGGTGCACAGGGCCTTTGCTATTCCCGCTCTACCCCAGGGGGTCTGCAGGGTCTCCTCCATGCTGCCGGCAGCCCCTGCCCCGCGCCATCCTCCTGTCCTTCTGCTCCCCAGTTACTCTCTTAACAGTGTGATCCACGTCCGGCCTCCTCCTCCTCCTCTCCCCTCATCTGCACAAAGGGGGTACGAGTTGGAGGAGCAGGCTCCATGCCCCCTCTCTCTCCCCTGTCCCCATCTGGCCTTCCCGTGCTGGGACCCCCCTCCCAACCTTCCCAGCCTTGCCACCATTTTGCGCCAGGAGACGAGCGCAGGAGGGGTAGGGGGGGGGTGGACGAGAATCCCTCTTGATCCGCTTCTGCAGCGATGAAAAGCTTCAAAAATGCAAATTGCTCCATGCATGCCTGCTCCATACAATGAAAAGGGGAGGCCGGCCGCTCGCCCGCCGCTCACCTCAGTCTCTCCCAGCTCAGCGCTGGTGCGGGGGGTTCCCGAGCTGTCGCCTCATCTGGCCCGTGAGTAGCAGCCCTTGTTGTCGCCTCCCCTGCCGGTGCCGTCCCCCCCGTTTTCCGGGTGCCAGCTGTCCCCCTCCCCCCCCCGCCCCCGGCTTCCAACTTGGGAGCAGGTGCCGTGCGGGCAGCGGGGGAAGAGGCGGCTATTTGGGGGTGCTCTGGGCAAGGGCAAAAGTAAGCCAACTTTGGCCTCGACCCACCTGTGGGCCTGGCCAGGGCAGGGGGGGAAGCTTGGCCATGCACCTGAGCCTCATTGCAGAAGGGTTTTCCCTGGGTAGCCCTTTGTGTTGCTGGAGGAGCTGGGGACCGGGTGGCAGGGAGGGGCACTGCTTCCCAGGGGCCAAGGGGCCTGTGCCCCCGGGTGGGGGGTGGTGGGG